TAAATCTATATTGAATGTTACGAAGCTAACAGCGGCAGGTCCGAGCTACTGTAGCGTTGGCTGCTCGTGGCTGCATTACAATAGGCTAGTAAACAAATTGCTCCACATTAGCTTTTTACCATTACATAATTTCTTGCAGGCTTTGACACTTTGACATAACAGTGTTACAGAGGAAAGTAACATGGGTTGCATTAGTTGGTGAAGTAATGTGAAAGCGATATAACTTTGCACCGGACAACATTAGCAACTGCTCGGCGTTAGCCAGCGAGCTAACGCTATCTAACTTGAGCCAACTGAAGCACAAAATCAAAATATATTTTACATGCTTTGTAGTGATGTTAGCTTATCTGTCCAATAGGATGAAAGCCAACTCTGGGTCTGTTTTTATATCCAAAACAAAGCGGAGGTTTCTCCATTATTCTATAGCCCTGCCAATGTTGATCCGTGTTTTCGTCCGAAGTCGATCCGATTCACATTTGGCTTGACGAGCTTCAGCAGATAAAACTTTTTATTTTTTTTTTTTATCCTTATGTGGAGTTTGTGTTGGAGTCTGTGTTGTGCTGGGAGCAGGTCGTTTCTTAGTGTTAGCAGACTCCATGTCGTAAGTTGCAGTGTCGTCGCTGCTGAGTGCAAAGTCAGTAGACAAAGCGAGAGGCTCGGGAGCGCGCGTGCAGGTGTCAGTCACTGGATTTCGCGGAAAATCCGACCCGGAGCCTTCAAATAGGAACAGGAATACTTGCCTTCAGAGTTAATAGCCAAACCCGGCAAGTGGATCATTTTAATGTCAGATTACAACCCCTTCACACACAGGCAATAAAAAAAGGATCAATTTTAGTGGAAAAACTACATATAGCCCTGTTAACTAGCACAGGTGACAAAGTGTATTTAACGCTGCTGCATTTAACTACCTGTGAGCTTTTTTTGAGTGCAGTTGGTGATTTCGTCTAAGAACTTTGACCCTTTCACAGTGTGTTTTCAGTTCATGAAAAATGATTTTGGTCGCCTAAAAATTCTTGCTTAGCTTTCAATTGTACAAAAAATCCCTGTACATTTTGTTTTAAGCTTGTTTGTCGCCAGCCAATTGATATCACAGTAAACATGTATCACAATGCACCTTACTAACCAAGTTAGGTAGCTCCACCCATCTTGTCCAAATATGGTCACTTCTGGTTCCAAAAAAAAACAAGATGGCAACGGCCAAAACGCCAAGCTAGAGGCTACAAAAAAGTAAGCCACAAACCAATGTGAAGACAGAATTTAAACAAAGGATTGTTTGGATTCAGTTTCCATCCTTAACTGCTGTAAAAATGACACAAAATTTGTGCTGTTTTTATGTCTTTGTGCAAGTTGATTTCTATAACAGTTTGTTGGCGAACAACAGCTGGGTGCAGTAACCTCTTGGATCCTTGTCATTACTATGAGGTTGCCAGCCAAACAGTGGACACGCTGCACAGGACAGACAAAATGCTGCTCATTACATAACTTCCTCTAAAACAACAAATTCTCATTTTTAGATTTTTCTCTGTGAATGGACTTAAACAAATAAGATACAATATTTTTATTAGTGAGCTTTAGAGGGACAAATAAGTGCATTTTCCAAAAAGTTTAACTATTCCTTTAATTACAAAAGAAAATATTTTCTCAGTCAGCTGCAGTGATATCTAACCATGCATATAGCTTTGCTTTGATATAAGATTTGAGATATCCATACCTGAAATTTCTGTCACCACCAAAATACGAAGGAGGTGAATGGAATTTCATTTTTAATGCTCCAAAGCATTGAAAACTTACCAATAAAATGTGTCTTTCCAGGAAATAATGTGCATATTACTCTGGATAATCTACAGGATTTACTGTTTTTCATTCATGGTTTTCATTGGAAGTGCTTCTACAGAAGAAATAGTCCCTAATAACTGTAACAGTGTATATACATCCACTGTATAACCTGTGCAAATGAAACCAAAACCATCTGCATGGCAGGATACCAAGTGAGAAAATGTTCTTTTTGGGGGGGTAATTTGAGTGAATTGATTCTTTAAATTTCAAATGCAGCTTTGAAAATATGTCAAACAGTATGATATGATTAATTCAGAGGGTTTTCCAGTGTGGCAGTTTTTAAATTTCCATTTGCAAGGAAGGAATATGTCTTTCACTGAATAAATGCAACAACACTTCCACATACAATATACTGTATACTTGCACAGTATGGCACCTTTTTCCATTACATTTTTCTCAGTTTTTTTTTTGTTCAGTAATGGTATATGTTGAAAAGGCACCTAAACATAATGCATTTCATACCTTAGATTCCCATGGGTCTGAAAGAAAGTTGGCAGGGCTGCAGTATAGTTATTTTCCATTGCCCAAGAAGAAACCACTGGTAGCTTAGAATAGACAGTACAGTAGCCATAAAAGGGCAAGTTCAAGATCATAATATTACTGGTGTAATGGAAAACCCATACAAACCTGACCTAGCATTAAAAGGTGAGCTGCAAAATTTGTGGATGCAGCTGACATTTGTACAGAAAGCTACAAAAGTAACACAGACAAAATATGCTTCCTAAAACCAGTTTGCTCTATAAACAGACCTATAAAGACATATCAGAGAGTGATTTTATAACCTGCTGCAACACCAGGATACCCTAAAACGGTGCCATTTCCAGTACCAGTGCAATTTTCCTGCCCCAACATTCACCACAGCTTTATTGTCATATCATCCAAATCTGCCCCCCGCTACTAGCTGCCATTACTGGGTGCCCACACCTTCACATAAAGTGCTTTTTCCTCTCAAATCTGAAATGCTTTGATCAGTCTCCCAGCATTTTTTCTTCATTCTAGTGAAAAGCAATATTGACTCAAAAGCCTCTGCCTCCCCACTGTGCTCGAAGAAAGTCATTGTAATGAAAAGCAGAGCAGCTCCATTAACACCAGTACCTGCTCTGCTTGCACCATCGCCTACCTGTGGTTAAATGGCTTAATTGGATCTGAGCTGAAAAAACTGCATTGCGTGGAAAGACTTTTTCTGGTCTTGGTGTGATGGAACAAAATGTTTTCTGTAAAAGAATATTCTGAACACTGCTGTTTGGCTTTGTTTCCTTGTGAGTTGAACATAACTGTGAACTAAGTGTCTCATTTCAGTGCAGAAAGCCTTATTCTGAAAATAAGCAATGTCTTTCCATATCACTCTACAACTGAGTCTGTTATTTATTAAGACTAGCACTTTTATTATATAAAGTATAACCGCTCTGAAAAAGTATGTTATATATTTATATATAAACATAACCCATATAAATGATATATTACTTGGTCACTGGTTCATATCCAACTGGAGAATCAATTAGTGAGTGCAGACTTGAAAAACAGATCCACTCATTCATCTAATGTGCCACTGGAAACAGATTCTATCTTGTGGTTTCAAAGAGCTTCACAGATAAAATGCATGCATTAAGGGAATAAAGGGATTGAAGTTGTGAAGGATTGTAAATGCCTACAGATGGCTGAACGCTCAAACGGCATGGTTTCTGTAGCATTCACACTTGCTGTACAATAATTTCAATTACTGTCTGTGTGCTTTATGAATAACAATGTCAAAATTGTGCAGGAAATACAATATACCGATTTGTATACATCAACAAACACATTGTTTGTCTTGTTCCATATACCCATATCTGTTAATTAATAGTGTCACCAGTTGAACCAGTAATCTGGCAATAACACCTTAATCAACCAGTTATGAGTGATTTTCAACAACCCCTAAGTTATAATCACCATAATATTCTTACAGTCACTGGTGGAGGAAGTACATTACTTACTTAAGTAAAAGTACCACACTGTAAAAATGCAAGTAAGACAAAACAAGTAAAAATGTTACTCAAGTAAAAGTATTAATAAAATGTTCTTGCGTATAAGTACTAAATGCAGAATAACAGCCCCTGTTAGTGTTAATATTATTCATCCATTAATATGTAATTATCTTGTCATTATGCAGAGTATGAGCTAATGAAATGCAGTTGAATTCGCATTTAGTTGTCAACTAATTTGAACTATGTTATATAGCCTACTGTTGGGAAGTTTAAGTACCACAAATGTGTGCTTAAGTACAATACTTGACTAAGTTACACTCCACCACTACTTACAGATAGTATGATGCTTCTGATAGCCTATTTATTGTTAATAGTAAGCAAATTGTCATTGTTAAATTTGACCAATTTTGTTGTATTTATTGTCATTGTCATTGTTACATAGGTAATATTTTTTTCCTGCACTACACATGAGGCTTCTGCAATAAACAACAAAAAACCTCTCAAAGGATTTCGGGCTGTAAATCTGAGTTGCGTCGATGGCAGAATTTAATCTGGTTTTAGGTTAGCTCTGACTCCATCTGCCGCCCCATCGCGGCGATGAAAACAATGACCCCAAAATTTAATTCGCAAACAACACAACTAATGACCATGCCCGGCGCACGAGCCTGTAACACACAGCCAAAATGAGTCAGGCGCAAAGCTGAGGATGAAAAACAAAAGTATAATCCATCTGCTGCTAACGGTGTCACTCAAGGATTAGCGTGCCAAGGAAAAAAAACACACTAAGTACTATGCGGATGTATTAAAAAGCTCTGAGCAACGTGCTTCAAAACGTTTCAAAAATATTGATTGTGTTACAATTGGAAGTCTTTGTGCTTCAGTGTGAGCGCCCCGACGGACAGCAACTATAATCGCAACTTCAGATATCCTGATATCAGTTGATTTGAGCCTCTGGCGACAAGTAAATTGAAATGGTGAAAGCTTGAGGCAGTAGATTGGGAGATATTTTCTGAGTCAAGGAGAGTGACCTGGCGGATCATTAGACAAGAGTTGTGGCGCCTCGCAGATGATGAGGGTTAAGCTCGCTGTCTGATAGCGAGTCAGACAGAGAGGGGGACTTTTCATAGATGGAGCTCATCTCGGATAGGCTTCAACAATCAGTCCACACACTAAAACAACACCACAATCACATTTTTTTACCTGTGTGTCCAGACGTAAACCATCCAGGGAGATAATCCAATCGAGATTAGTGGTGAACGGAAGGAAGCAAGACTTCTCAACAAACTATTATTAAAGATAATCTCTAGCTCCGGTCAAATCCACGGCTGGCGCACAATGTAATTTCCGATGTGTATAAAGAGAGGTCCTCTAGAGAAGTTTGCACCTTTAAGCAGCCAGCAGCCAGGTTGTTACTCCTTTCCCAAAATATTACCAATGCACAGCAGAGTCAACAGAGCAGGACGAAGAAGAGGATCGGGATGTCGAGTTCAGCACCACGGCACAGTGGACAGCTCCGACAGCGCAGCGATCTCACCTCGGCCGCTCTCGGGTCTCGTGTGCGCCACCGAGGTAGGAGCCACCAGCCCCAACCTCACCAGTCTCACTCCCGACCGGATTTACATACAATCACGCGGGAGGGAGGGAGGAGAGGGAGGGATGGACCAATCAGAAATATCCCGTAGTAGGCAGTATAAGCAACAAAACGAGAACAGACAGACACACAGACTGAAAGACGGAATGCCAAGAGAAACTGTCCTTGACAAAACAAGGAGGAAAAGGAAAGAGAGGGGGATAGAGTTGGGTTTCTTTATGGCTGCCCCACACACACACACACACAATCCACCGTTTTATACAGTACTACATCACTGTACTGTTACTGCATGACCCCCAGGTGTATCATCACCAAGGGAGAATGACCTCTAAAACCAATATTTGGTGTGTAAAGTATATTGTATTTATTTGTTTCCTTTAAAGACCATTGTGGTCCTCACATCAAGGGAAATCAGCCTCTAATAACAAGAGTAATCAATTCAGTAATCAATTACGTTTTCATGAAAAGTGTTTTCATAATTTTTTAGTGTTATTATTAGTATTAGTAGAAATCAGTGAAAGCAAGTACAAATCCTGAAGGTAAGTCACATTTTGCTTGAATAATTCCATTTAATGTTACTTGATACTTCTAGTATATATATATATATATATATATATATATATATATATATATGACAATTTTACACTCTGAAAGGGGCCAGTCTTCTTGTAGAGAACTTAAACGTGTGCTGATAATATTTGCTAAATATAGCTATAGCTAAGAAGAATTTAGAATGCAGGACTTTTACTTCTAACCAAGTATTTTTACATTATGGTGAAACTGATCTGATCGAAGTGGAGCTAATTTCAACTAACAATCTGTAACATTTGCAACTTATATCTTATATGTTTCACATACATTTTGTATGTAAAATATGAATCTGTAAATGACAAGTAACAAAAGCTGTCAGTCAAAGTACAATAGTTCCCCCTAGAATGTAGTGGAGTAGAAAAATAAAATAGCATAAAATGGAAATACAAGTACTGAAAACAATATTACATCTTCAATATTAAAATATTAGAGTACATTGCAAATAAAGACTATTGCCTACTCTCCCACAGCTCTACAAATAAAATCTGACACAAAAGTTTCTTTACCTAAAACACAACTCAAGTATTTTATAAAAATTTAACCAGTAGAAATGAAGGGCATCTCTAAAAAGAGTAGCTGTTAACTCATTGATTTTGTCTTCAGTCTAACATGAATAACATAACAAACATTGTATTTCCTCTGCAGGGAGACCATTAAACCCACCCTTTTATCTACTGATTGTGTTTTTTAATAAATGTAAATGCTCCTTACTTGTATAGCGCCTTTCTAGTCTTTTCGACCACTCAAAGCACTTTTACACTACATCTGCATTCACCAGTCACACACATTCATACACTGTACTAAGTGCTCAAACGGAAACTAAGATTCACACTGCCGCCAGGGGCAATTCGGGGTTCAGTATCTTGCCCAAGGACACTTCGACATGCAACCAAGGGGAGCCAGGGATTGAACCGCCGACCTCCGATTAACAGCCAACCCGCTCTACCTCCTGAGCCACAGCCGCCCCACAGTAATACAGTAATTGTGCTCACAGAGATCTTTGACTTTGACAAGTAGTTGTTATACCCTTAAGTTTGCCTTTTTAAATAACTTGTATCAGGCCAATACAACTTATGATGCATGAATGTGTGCTACATTGACAGTGCATCAAAAGTTGTGTTGTCCTATGTGCAAATGCAGTAATTTATTCATTTATCATTACTTATTCATGTATTTATTTCAGTTTAGCCTATTGTTTATATTCACATCAATTTCCCTTTTCTCCATTTACACTTCAAGACATCAGACTTTCATGCATTATGCACTGTACTGCAGGCTACTCTTTGTATTATAATTCTGTTAAGAAAGTATGCAACTACACTATTTATATATGCATTTCTGGCTTGTGCGTGTTAACCACTAGTTTTTTCAGTACACAAAATGCACTGCAGCTTTTTCCAAAATGCTGTAATGACTATGTTGTAAGACATACTACTAAGTAGTGGAGGTGTGCAGACGTTTAATTGTCTTCTCTTCAACGCACCTGACTGCATCTTTTCAGGCAAGCAAATATTTCTGATGTATTTGTGCCATTATTAGATCATTATTGCGTGGTGACTCATCAGTGTACAAGTCTACAGTGAGTCAGTTACCACTGACTCCCAAGTGACTCCCCACAGAACTAAAGACGGGTTTGAAATTAGATGAGGTGTCCAAATTTGATCATCCATTCATTCTAATGACAGCTGCCCACATGCACAACAGCACATAAACAAAATGGTTTCTTCCACCACTACACACAACTCCAACTCCGCAAGACAAGAACACCAATGGGCCATTATACAAAACCCCACTCTTTTTACAATATCTGCACATAGCAACTACGGCATAAAGTTGTCGTCAGGCATAAAGTTAAGTTAATTGCTTCCTGCACTGGTAAGTGATTTCATTTAAAAACTACATATAACCCCTTTAATTTAGATTCTGGAGCAAGACTTCCCTTCAAATGTGCCCCTAATCAGCTGTCAACTTATAGATGCACTGGAAGTTTTTCTCTAGGTACTCTTTAGATACTCTAGGAACTCCAGGTAAGCTTGAGTGCAGCAAGTCCTCATACCTAAATATAACAAAAATAGATTGTTTGTCAGTGCCTTCAGACACCAAAAAATGCTCAAATAAGAGGTGGTAGAAAAGTCCTTAGTTGGGGGTAGCATTGCCAGTAGGAGGAGATGGGATTCGAACCATGTTCTGCACTGTTAATGTCAGTCACATTGTATTCTCAATAACTCCTTCCTAAGATTTTTTGCAATGCTATCACAATGACACTGGCCCTTCTCTCTTGCTTGTGGGAGAGGACAGTCCCTATTTACCACAAGAGGTCACTTGTCAGGAAGATGTAAACACAGATGACATTAAGCATTTGAACAAACAACTGATGCTGTTGTATTTTGGGGAGGACAGTCTTCTTGGGTGATACAACCTGAGGCTGACCTGATCTGACCTGAGGCAAATCCCACTGTCTCTTTCTCCAATGACTCAGGCAGATGAGGAAGGCAACTTTGATGACTTATGACTCCCAGTTCCTACATCCACCTTTATATCATTACAGTAATTCTATTAACGACATACTTCTTAACCCTTTCTACCTCACACAGGAAGTCAAAGACTGAAAGAAGTTTAATAGCTGGAATGGGCAATACAGAGACACCACAATATTGAAAATTGAAAGCGCAAGGGATGTTGCCAAAATGAAATAAAAACTAAATCCTTGGAGATTTCCTACTTAAATATCTAACACATTGCCATGTAAATCCTGTAAACAAGTCTTAAGTTTCATGCCTCACGTGTAAATATATTGCCAGAGTCACATCACCATAATCAAACATGATGTATGTGATGACGCTCATTCAACACATGTGCCAAATGTGTTGTTGCTTCTGCGAAATTAAGTTATAGCATGATTCATTATGGCAAATGAGAAGGAGCTCTCCCTTGACATTCTCCCTGCGAATTATGTTGCCACATCTGTGCTTATAAACAACCCGTGTGTATATGTCACATGGGTACAGCTGAGATGGCTGTAATTTATCATGCGGACAATTAATGCTTTGCATGTTAAATAAAGAAGAGAGGGAAGGAATTGTCTCCATAGCTTTGCAGTCTGTTATTCAAGCTTTATTCAAGCCTTACTCATGCTGGGAGTTCATTTTGTTTGCATGTGTGTGAGAGTTTCTGAGGCTGTTGTGTTGGAAGTACAATAGTTTGTGGGTGTGTGGTGTGTTCATTGGTTTTGAAATTGTCTATATGCACACAGCAGAGTTGTAGAAAGTCCACTTCTCTGTGTGTGTGTGTGTGTGTGCGTGTGATTTCAGTTATTTGCATGTAATGGTGTGTGTGTGAGCAGGCCTTTTGTGTATGTGTGTGTGTGCACATTTACACAAAAGAATGACAGTGAGCATAATCAGTGTGTGTGTGTGTCTGTGTGTGGTGGAGACCGTAATAGATTGTGACACATAGTATGGGGAGCATCAGCAGAAGCGCGCTCACACAGATGTGATATATGGCCAGTTTCGCATCCCATTATTTGTTAAACTGCGCTGTGTCGTGCGTGGCTCCAGATTGCAATGTCAACCCGATGTACATTCACTGCGACTGCTGCATTAGGACTAAGCATATGGCTCCCACTCTCCTCTCTGGACCTCTGCTCGAACAGAGTGACATTAGTTTGGATGTATCTTCCTGAGCTGAGGTTTTCCATTTGACCTCTGTGAAATAATGCAGCAGTTGTGCTGAAGAATCACTACTGCATGCACTCTCTGAGAGCTAAAAAAAAAAGACAAGAGCTCTGTTGGTAAAATGAATGATTTCCAAAAAAGAGATGGCTGGTGAGATGGTAGTTCCAAACAAATAACAAAGTAATGAAGAGTGGATTTCTTAAGTCAGTGACTTCTGGAAAGCAGATCCTTCAGTAAGGGAAGATGTTGATGGAAAATACTGAATAAATGAGTGCTGACTAATCAATTAACATATTGGTCCATTGACAGAAAGTGAATCAACAACTATTATACTAAGTCATTTATCAAGCAAACATGCCAGGTAATACCTTTGCTGGTTTCAGCTTCTCAATCTTTATGTAATTGTAAACTGAAAAAAATGTTCTGGGCATCTTGTCTTGTCCTGACATTACTGAGTCCGTGTTCAGACTAACTTTAGTACTTTGTCAAATTAAGGCTGCATTCTCATTCCTTTCTGTGACACTACATTAACTCAATGAGGATCCTGACTTTGCATGGCCCTGGTAGAATACTTAAAATGGAGTGTGTCATCCCACAGTTTACCCCGCCATTGTCAGACGGAGGATAAAATGACTGTTGCTGTGATAACTTTCAGCTGTAATAGCTAAACCACT